GCCAAGGTAGTTTTTTTTTTTTTTTTTTTTTTTTTGCTTTTTTAATTGTGGTAAAATATATGTAACAAAAAATTTGCCATTTTAAATTTTCAAATGTACAACTCAGTGATGTTATGTTCACCATATTGTGTAACCATTATCACTATCCATTTCTAAAAGTTTTTCATCACTGAAACGGAAACTCAGTATTGCTTAAGTAGTAACTCCCCATCTCCTCCTCCCCCAACCCCTGGTAACCTCGAATAAACTTTGGTTTCTATGTATTTGCCTAGCCTAAATATTTCACGTAAGTGGAATCACATAACATTTGTCCTTTTATGTCTGGGTCATTCACATGGTAGCATGCATCAGAGCTTCATTTCTCCTTATGACTGAATAATGTTTCATCATATGAATAGACCACATTTTATTTATCCATTCATTGTTGATGGACACTTGGGTTGTTTCTACCTTTTGCCTATTGTGAATAATATTGCAATGAATCTTTGGTGTCCTCATATCTGTTTGAGTCCCTGCTTTCAAGTCTCTTGGGTATATACCTAGGAGCGGAATTGCTAGGTCATATGGTAGTTCTATGTTTATCCTTCTGAAGAACCTCCAAACTGTTTTCCATAGTGGCTGAACCATTTTACATTCCCACCGGCAATGCACTGGAGGGTTTCTTTGTTCACTTTGGGGTGCTGTTTATTTTTTATTTGTTTGTTAATCAAGATTAATCACCTCTAACACCAGAAAGAAATTAAATTTTGGAAATAAAAATTGCTCAACAATGAACCCAAGAGAACTGCACGTAGGTAATACATGTCCTGTTTATTTAGCAAAAGTGAGTTTAGCTACATATACAAGTAAATAGATGACAATGCCGAAATCTTTAGTTCTTTTATTCATTTTTGGAAAACAAAATAAACATGCACATCTAGATATGAGGCAAATAGGCCAATTTCTAATAATGGCATAGTTGTTAATTTTTTAATTCTTCACTTGGACAAGACTTAAAATGCTCTAGTCCCATAACTTCAGGTTAATTTAAAAAGTGTTGGTTAATATTATATATATTTGTGCAAAATCCTAGCGCTAAATTTTTTTATATAAGTAACCCTAGACTTTCCTGGTTTGCACTCCAGGCTGTGTAAGGATTTTGGGTATTATGAAAAGAACACATCACATGCATACTGAAGCAACCACAGGTGAAGTGATACTCTAGCTGGGATTTGCTTTATACTCCAGCAAAAAAGGGGGGAAAGAGGGCAGAGAACAGATGAGACAAGATCAGAAAATTATATATGAGTGCACAGGAATTGATTATGTTATTCTTTCTACTTTTGTATATGTTTGTATATTTACAAAATAAAATTTAAAAATACTTCGTAAGATCTTCTTTAAACTGAATTGAGAAACAAGCAGGTTATACCTTCTAAACTAAAATTCCATTTTCAGAAATTTTTTGCTCTCTGACCTCATGTTTCAGTGGTTCCTGACAGACCAAAACCAAGGTCAAGATAAAATCCAAATATCCTATTTGATTAGCAGTATGAATGGCAACAGCTTCTCACATTATTGACTCTTCCTCAAGATATTTAATGTTCATTCATTCAAACGTATTTGTTGAGCATCAACTTAGTGCCAAGCACTTTTTATCTACGTGGCGGGGGGGCTGCAGTGGAAAACAAAACAGATACAGGCACACCTCGGAGATAATGCGGGTTCGGTTCCAGATTGCTGCAATAAACTGAATATCACTATAAAGCAAGTCATACCATTTTTTTGGTTTCCCAGTGCATATAAAAGTTATGTTTAAACTATACTGTAGTCTATTAAGTGTGCAATAGCATGTTTAAATAAACAATGTACATACCTTAATTTAAAAATACTTTATTGCTAAAAAGTGCTAATCATCTTCTGAGACTTCAGCGAGTTGTAATCTTTTTGCTGGAGGAAGGTCTTGCCTCGATGTTGATGGCTGCTGACTGACCAGGGTGGTGGTTGCTGAAGGTTGGGGTGGCTGTGGCAATTTCTTAAAATAAGATAACAGTGAAGTTTGCTGCATTGACTGACACTTCCTTTGACGAAAGATTTCCCTGTAGCATGTGATGCTGTTTAATAGCACTTTATCCATGATAGAAAGAACTTCGAAATTGGAGTCAATCCTCTCAAACCCTGCTGCTGCTTTATCAACTAAGTTTATGTTGTATTCTAACTCCTTTTTTGTCATTTCAATAATGTTCACAGCATCTTCACCAGGAATAGATACCACCTCAAGAAACCACTTTCTTTGCTCATCCATAAGAAACAACTCCTTATCCATTAAAGTTTTATCATGAATTCAGTCACATCTTCAGGCTCCACTTGTAATTCTGGTTCTCTTGCTATTTCCACCATATCTAGTTACTTCCTCCACTGAAGTCTTGAACCCCTCAAAGTCATCCATGAGGGTTGGAATCAACTTCTTCCAATCTCCTATTAATATTTTGACCTCCTCCCATGAATCACAAATATTCTTAATGGCATCCATTCTAGACACCATTTTAGTGAACCCTTTCTGGGAAGTTTTCAGTTTACTTTGCCCAGATCCATCAGAGGAATCACTATGGCAGCTACAGCCTTACAAAATGTATTTCTTAAATAATAAGACTTAAAAGTCTAAATTACTGCTTGATCCATGGGCTGCAGAATGGATGTGGTATTTAGTGGGAATGAAAACAACATTAATCTTCTTGTACATCTTCAGCAGAGCTCTTGAGTAACCAGGTGCATTGTCAATGAGCAGTAATACTTTGAAAGAAATCCTCTTCTGAGCAGTAGGTCTCAACAGTGGGTTTAAACTATTCAGTAAACCACATTATAAACAGATGTGGTGTCATACAGGCTTTGCTGTTCCATTTATACAGCACAGGCAGAGTAGATTTAGCATAATTCTTAAGGACCCTAGGATTTTTTGAATGGTAAATGAGCATTGGCTTCAACTTAAAGTCACCAGCTGCATTAGCCCTTAATGAGAGAGTCAGCCTGTCCTTTGAAGCTTTGAAGCCAGGCACTGACTTCTCCTTTCTAGCTATGAAAGTCCTAGATGGCATCTTCTTCCAATATAAGGCTGTTATGTCTACATCGATAATCTGTTGTTTAGTGTAGCCACCTTCATGAATTATCTTAGCTAGATCTTCTGGATAACTTGCTGCAGCTTCTGTATCAGCACTTGCTTCTTCACTTTGCACTTTTATGTTATGGAGACAGCATCTTCCCTTAAATCTCATGAACCAATCTCTGCTAGCTTCAAACTTTTCTTCTGCAGCTTCCTCACCTCTCTCAGCCTGCCTAGAATTGAAGTGAGTTAAGACTTTGCTCTGGATTAGGTTTTGGCTTAAGGGAATGTTGTGGCTGGTTTGATCTTCTCTCCAGGCCACTAAAACTTTCTCCGTATCAGCTATAAGTCTGTTTCACTTTTTTATCATTTGTGTGTTCACTGGAATAGCACTTTTAATTTTCTTCAAGAACTTTTCCTTTGCATTCACAACTTGGCTAACCATTTGGCATAAGAGGCGTAGCTTTCGGCCTATCTTGGCTTTTGACATGCCTTCCTCACTAAGCTTAATCATTTCTAGCTTTTGATTTCAAGTGAGAGATGTGCGACTCTTCCTTTCACTTGAACACTTAGAGGCCACTGTGGGGTTATTAATTGGCCTAATTTCAATATTGTCATGTCTCAGGGAATAGGGAGGCCCGAATAGAGGGAGAGAGACGGAGGAATTGCTGGTCAGTAGAGCAGTCAGAACACACACAACATTTATCAATTAAGTTTTCCATCTTATGTGGATGTGGTTCGTGGCACCCCAAAACAATTACAACAGTAACATTAAAGATCACTGATCACAGATCACCATAACAGATATAATAATAATGAAAAAGTTTGAAATACTGTGAGAATTATCAAAATGTGACACAGACATGAAGTGAGCGCATGCGGTTAGAAAAATGATGCCAACAGACTTGCTTAGTGCAAGGCTGCCACAAATCTTCAGTTTGTAAAAAACACAGTATCTGTGAAGTGCAATAAAGCTAAGCACAATAAAATTAAGTATGCCTGTAAAGATCCTAACTTGAAAGAACTTAACAGCTGGTTAGAGAACCATTTAACCACTAAATACACAAATAAATATGGCAAGTGTATGAAGGAAAAGAAGAGGTTGGTATGATTGAAGTAACAACTGGGGTTCAGAAACGGCTTCATTGAAGAGATGCTGTTTAACCTGAGATCTGAAAGATGCTCAGGGGATTAACCAGGCAAAGGTGTTGGAGTAGGGGAATGTTGGGGTGTGTTGGGCATTGGGGGAGTGGTCCAGACAGAGGGAACAATATGTATGAAGACCCTGAAGTGTATCTTATCCTAAATGCAATGGGAGGTTGTATCACTTTTCTATTGCTATTTCAAAAACTACTCTAAAACTTAGTGCCTCTGAAGAACAACCATTTTATTTGCTAACAATTCTGTGGGTCAGCAATTTGGACTGGGCTCAGCTTGGATGGCTCATCAGCTGAGCTCACTCATATGTCTGGGGTCTCAGTTAGGACTACTGAGACAGCTAGAATGACTGAGCCTCTCTTTCCAAATGGTCTCTCATTCTTTTTTTTTTTTTTAAATTGTGGTGAAAATGTACATATCAAAAAATTCGCCAGCACAACAACTTCCACATTTACAATTCAATGACTGATTACATTTTTCATGTTGTGCCACCATTATCACTGCCCTTTTCCAAAATATTCCCTCACTATTAACACAAACTCAATGACTCCCAAACAAAAACTCCCCCTGACCCCTTCCTCCCCCCATAACCATCAATAATCTTTTGTTTCTATATATTCGCTTATTTCATATAAGTGAGATCATACAGTATTCTTCCTTTTATAACTGACTTATTTCTCTCAGAGTGATGTTTTCAAGGTTCATCCATGTTGTGGCATGGATCAGGACTTCATTTCTCTTTACATCTGCATAATATTCAATTATATGGATATACCACATTTTCTTTATCCATTCATCTGTTGATGGATATTTAGGCTGTTTCCACATTTGGCCGTTGTAAAAAGTGCTGCAATGAACATTGGTGTACAGGTTTCTGTTTGCATTCCTGTCTTCACCTCTTCTGGGTGTATACCTAGGACTGGGACTGCTGGGTCATATGGTAGTTCTGTGTTCAACTTTCTGAGGAACTACCAATCTGTTTTCCACAGTGGCTGCACCATTTTACATTCCTACCAGCAATGGATGAAAGTTCCAGTTTCTTCACAACCTCACAATCACTTGTTGTTTTTTGTTTTTTTGATCATTGCCATTCTAATGGGAGTGAGGTGATATCTCATTGTGGTTTTGATTGGTCTCTCATTCTTAAGGAGACTAAAATGGGATTCTTCATAGCATGGTTGTCTCAGTATTCCAAGAGGATGAAGAGATCGGTAAGATCTCTTGAGGCTTGGACTTGGAACAAATGCACCATCATTTCCACCGCATTCTATTGGACAAAGCAAATCATCAAGCCAATCTGAACTCTACCTCTTGAGAGTAGGAGCTACAAATAATTTGTGTCCATTTTTAATCTACCTCAGAAGCTATTAAAGAATTTTATCCCTGTTATTTTTATACCCAGCACTGTGTTTATTTTATCTGTATACAAAATTTTATTCCAATGTAATATACATACTTACATAAAGTGCACAAATCATGTGTACAACTTAATGAAATAAGTGATCACATCCATGTAACATTACCAGCACACCAAAAGCTCCCAACCCTTCTCCTGGTCACTACTCTCTCCCTCCTCCCAAAGATAATCATTATCTGACATCTAACATTAGAGATTAGTTTTTGAACTTTATGTGAATGGAAACTACAGGATGTGCTTTTGTATATGTGTACATTTATGTGTGTCATAAGGAGCCCTGGTGGCACAGTGGTTAAGTGCTTGGCTGCTAACCAAAATGTCAGTAGTTCGAACCCACCAGCTGCTCTGAAGGAGAAAGATGTAGTAGCCTGCTTCCTTAAAGATTTACAGCCTTGGAAACCCTATGGGGCAGTTCTACTCTGTCCTATAGGATCACTATGAGTTGATATCTACTCGATGGCAACAGAGTTTTTTTTGTGTGTCATTGCTGTCACTTATCATTGTTGTGAGATTTATCCATGCTGTTGCATATAGCGGCAGCTCATTTATATTCATCGCTGTTATAGTATTCCACAATATATTTATTCATCCTATTGTTGATGGTTATTTGGGTTATTGCTAGTTGCTTCTATGAATGTTCTTACATATATCTCTTGCTTCATATATGTACACATTTCTATTGGGTATATTCCTAGGAATGGAATACAGGGTGGTAGAGTATGTATGTGTTCAACTTCAGTAGATAATATCTACTCTCTCACCAGCATGCAGAAAGAGTTCCATTTGCTTCGTATTCTTGCCAACCCTCGGAATGCTCTGTAGTTGGAATTTTAGCCGTTCTTCTATGGGGTGTATGTACGTTAGTATTTCATTGTGGTTTCAATTTGCATTTTCCTGATAACTAATAAGATTGAGTACCTTTTCAAATGTTAATCATTTATATATCTTCTCTTGTGACGTGTCCTTCCAAGTTTCCTGGAACAGCATAAGCAAAAGCTCAGAGTCATAAAACAGCTTGATATGTGTGGTGAACTATAAGTAATTTGGCTCTAGTATTGTGGTTCTCAGAGTCCTGGTGGCTCAGTAGTTAAGAGCTATAGCTGCTAATCAAAAGGTCAGCAGCTCAAATCCACCAGCCGCTCCTTGGAAACCCTAGGGGGCAGTTCTACTCTGTCCTATGGGGTCACTATGAGTCGGAATTGACTCAATGGCAACAGGTTTGGTTTTTTTTTGTTTTTTGTTTTGGTATAGTGGTTCTCAGAGGAGCCATGGTGGCACAGTGGTTAAGCGCTCGGCTGCTAACCGAAATGTTGGCGGTTCAAACCCACCAGCCACTCCACGGATGAAAGATGTGGCAGTCTGCTTCAATGAAGATTACAGCCTTGGAAACCCGATGGGGCAGTTCTACTCTGTCCTATAGGGTCGCTA